ATTTTGCTTACCCCCCCCCCCCTCCCCCCCCCCCAATAATTTATTACTGTCCTACGAGTTTAATGCAGGCGAGACGTGATGGCGAGCAGGGCGCAGGAGTGCTGGTGGTCACATTGCTCCTAGAGTGATGTAGTTTATTGTGGGAGGGGTGCAGCCCCATGGTTTGGGGGTGCTGAGGAAGCAGTCAGGCCTGTGTGCACGGTGACCTGTCGCAGAGCCATAGGGCAGGTGAGAGCTGGGAGGGCTGATGGGGGCTGCAGCAGTGCTGCCGGGGGGGTGGGCATGCTCTCCCCTGCCCCAGCACGGCAGCACATTCCCGGGGCAGCTCAGAAATTGGGACGGTCCTTCTTGAGGCTCTTGTAGTCAGTGGAAACTGCCAGAAACTGGAGAAGGGAGGGACCTGAGAGGGGGTTGTGTCCCCCATGGCCATCACTGAAGTCTGGCCTTGGCTGCAGAGTTGGGTGACAGCGTGCCCCTTCCCAACTCTGAGCACAAGGAGCTGGAGGGCTCATGCACTTCTGCCCCAGGGCTGATGCCGCCTCTTCCCCTTCCCCGAGGAAAACGTGATGTCTTACCCTAAACATGGCCATTCCCCCGCCCCAGAGTGCCAGGCTCCAAGTTCACCCAATGCTCACTTTATACTGGTCCGTGGGGTTCAGCTTATTCCAGGGTTCAGGGTTATTTTTTCGATCCCAGCTGCAAGGGGTGATGGGGCCATCAGCACCTGTAAGGAGGGTGGGGGAGACAGGCCCTGCCCCCAATCCCACAGCCCCCTCCCCCCGCCATTTTACCTCCACTAGTGCCCCCAGCCCTGGCTCTCTGCAGAAATAATCCCAGATGTCATCATAGCCACACTCCCCAGTTCTGCTGTAGTTGGCAGGTTGGGGGGCTCTGACTGGGTCCCTCCAGCCCCCCGGGGTGAGAAGCTGGGATGGGGGCTGGGCGGGCTCCCTGCGGGGCTGCTCTCAGAGCACCCCTGCCCAGGCTTGTGCCACAGCCATGGGCTGACTCACCCAAACCGCAACCTGGCTGCCACCCTGGCGCAGCGCTGGCTCACAAGCCGCTGCACCGGCTGTACGTGCAGGGGTGCACGTCTGCCTGCCCCCCCACCCCGGATCCCCAAGCCGACACCTCTGCAGGCACTGCCCTGCTGCACCCCTGCCTGGAGGGGAGGCTGCCTTCTGGCCTTGGCTGCTTTGCCGCCCTCCCCTTTCCCAAAAGCCTCCCCACCTCCCCCTCATGAGCCCCCAGCTTTCACTCCCTGTTTGGCAGGGGGCGAGCAGGGAAGCTGCTGCCTGCCCTGCCATGCATGCCTGCCATGAGCAAGCAGGGGACACAGCAGCTGTGTGCAGCACTCATGAACGTGCAATGCTTGTGAGTGTGCAAGCCAACTGCACGGGGTGGCTGGTCTTGGTCAGATGAAGCCTTCCCAAAGAGGACACATCCCGTCCTGTCCCAGGAGAGGTTATAGAAGGCCAGTGAAGCCGTGGGATGGGTCCCTGGAGAGAGCAGTTCACATCTCCCCCTCTCTCGTCCCCCCTGCAATCCGCTGGTGTTGGCCAAGAGCAGAATTTTCCATCTGGGAAGATGCATGCGCACGCGTGTGTGTGTGCATGTTGGGGGATGGGGGGGATGGGGGGGCTGTGCTGCAAATGCAGACCCCTGGAGCTGTTTAATAGCATTAATGTGCTCTGGGGGTGCTGCTGTTGTTTTACCCTCCTCACACACACACGCACACCCCAGCGCTTCTACCATCAAAGACAAGGTGCCTGGATCTGCTAATTGCTGAGCTAAGTACCCTGGGCAGCTGGTGTCAAATTAAATCAATGAGCATTTTACCAGGAGCAAACAAATATTAGATAGGCATTAGACAGCGTGGGGCTGCAGGGACCGTGGGCCACTGAGTTACAAGGGGGGAAAAAAAAAGAAACCCAAACAACCAGCCTCATGTGCCACAGCATGCCTGTCTGTCCTGTGCCAATCCATTCACCCTCTATTCCTCATCAATCCATCCTCACGCCTTGTCTCCCTCTCCCTTGTCTCCATCGCCATTCATCCTTGCAGTTTTTATGTCTGTCCATCCCTCCCTCGCTCTCCCCATTGCTTCTCCAACCGTCCCATTCCTCTGTCAATCCATCCCTCCCCACAGTCTTTCCCCCCCTCCATCAGTCACATACTGCTTTTATCTGCCTCGTCATCCACCCATCCATCCTGCTCCCTCTGTCATCCCCGTAACCTCTCTGTGTCTCTCTCCTGCCTGCCCCCAGTTTCACAGCAGCTGGTGCAGTGCCCAGAGCAGCAGGTTGAAGGGGCCCTTGTCCCCCCCCATTCCCAAGCAAGGAGAGGGCAGATGGTGCCCTAGCTTCCCCCACCCCCCTCCGAGCACCTCTGCACCTGGGTTTGGCTATCCCCCCTGCCCTCACACTGCTCACCATGAAGGCATCAGAGTGCATCCAGGTGCCTTGTGCACCCCAGCGCCCGCCCCCTGCACCCGGGCATCAGCCCCCTCAGCTCCAGGGGCATGGGGTGAGTGCCCAAGGGGTGCCCAAGGGCACCCTGACCCATACCTGACGTCCGGGCTGTACAGGGCCAGCCTCAGCAAGTACAGGACAGCACTGCCCAGGCCGACACTGATGAAGCCAATGAGGGGAATGAGCTGCAGAGAGAGACAGAGAGAGAAATGAAAAATACCATAATAAAATGAATATTTATCAGGCCAACTGGAGAGTGAAAGGGAGAGCTGACACACCGGGAGATTTACAGGGGAAATATGGCAGAGCAATCCTGTAGCTGGGCTGCAGTACACAGTGTAGCTGTCAGCTTGAGTGACTGAATTAAAAGAGGGAGAGAAAAATCGGCTCATGTTGGAGAGGAATTGGATTTGGAATGAGAAATCATTTCCCCCCCCTGCCTGCTGCTGCCCGGCGCTGGCTGGCACGGCCACAGGTGAGGGCCCAGGTGGCCTGGGGGCCCCATTGCCAGCGTGCATGGTGCTCCCAGTCAGGGGCTGAGCCTTCGCTAACAATTCCTCCCCGAGGGACTTGGTCCCTGCCCAGCACAGGGCTGCAGCCTGGGCAGGGTTTGGCCCTGAGCCACGCTGCCCACCTCGGGCAGGCTCTCCGTCCCCCCCGCAGCTGCCCCCCCCGGCCCTGCACCCCTCCGCACCATCTCCCGATGGAGAACGAGATGAGGAAGGTTCAGTTTGTCTTCCCCTGCGCCTACAGCAGGGATGGACTGGGACATGCTGGGTCCAGGCGTCACACCAGTGGTCAAGCAGCTGGGTCCAGAGCATGTCTCAGGGATGTGGTGACAGTGCAGCGGGGGGGGGGGGGGGGGGGGGCGAGGAGGGGGTGTCACCCTCTATGTCAGTGACCAGCTGGAGGAGTTGCCCCCCCTGCAGCGGGCATCCCTGCAAGCAGGAGGTCCCTTCACCCCCTTCTGTGCGCACAGGAGCTTTCATCGTGCCTTTGCAGGGCGACCAGCTCCATCTTCTCGTCTCCACTCCCCCCCCCCCCCCCCCCCCCCCCCCCCACACCCCCCCCGCCGGGGGG